GTTAGTTGTGTAGGTCATGGTTGTACGAGGGCTGGGATACTGCCAGGGCGCCCACACCTAGACAGGAGGACGATTAGAGTCCTCAACCAAAGCCTTTGGCTCAAAAGCCTAACCGCAAGGCAACGGTGTTTGGCGGGGAAATACTGATGCATTACATTTTTTACGGAACAAGTCGCCATACATGTTCCAACCCCCAATCTGGAGGGCCAGGAGACTGTGTTCGTCAGACCCCTAACCATTGACCAATCTGGTATGAGAGACTCTGCGAGTGTCGCGCGGACACCCCCCCAGTATAGCTAAATGGGTCTCCGAGGTACACAAACCGCCACACCACGGTAAGGTCCAGCCTCTTCGTGACGCACGAACAGCTTCGAACTGTTTGTTCTGGGACTCATATGTGGACTCGGATCATGTGCTTGTTCGTTGCTGCTTCTGGTTGCGCTTATTAGAGGCGCATGAGATGCGCACACCGCTGGGTTATTAAGAAGCTTTCGGACCCATATTTGAGATAAATCTACCAGAATCACCTACTGATCTCCATTTAGAATAACACATTGACTGTTCCTGAACGGTACTGTCCAAAACCCTGCAAGTTGCTGGTAGCTACGCTTGTAGTGATTGAACCAATTGGCTACAAGCACTGGATCTCGAACAACACCCTAGAAGTGCTCGAAGCTAGGACACTTATTCATCCTGGTCAAGGGTACAATACCACTCGACGATCTGTCAAACATAAATGAGAAAGGATATTGGTGCGGAAACAATAGTGTGGGATTCAAGCACAGTGATTGAGGTAACAGCTCCATCACTCTCCACTCGCTTTCTACCGTGCACCTTTGGCAATCCGAAAGCACTACGACAGGATGTGCGGGGGTCGGTATTGTCCTGAGTCACCGCGGGGAAGGTGTCTACCGTGTGTAGTCGCTTCTGCCTGGTTCATCTGGAAACGCCCTTGATGGGACCTCACAAGCGGGAATCGGACCGTTGTCACATCTCCTTTCGTCCCGCCCCACTGTAGCTCTAACGTCAACAGAGAGAAGTTTTATGACGTCCTGAATGCCCTGTTTCGGCGAACTAAAAGCCCAGATGTCGTGGGGTTAAATTCGCAAGTGGACAGACTGTTTGGAGTGTCGAGTAGTTCCAGGACAAGATTAGAACGGAGATAATAGAAGGGCGTAATCTACGCTCTAATCGTCTAATAACGGTAGTACATGAACTGAAAACAGTGAGCATTACAATTTAATGGTCTATGCAAAGGTAAGGTTTACATAGTCATGACACAGGCTTAGTGCATCTGAGACTCAATTAAGTGGTTGACAAAGATTGGATTCGGTACGTATGGACAATGGTGAACAATCGCACCAGCTGTGTGCTGACCTCAGTATGTTTTATGCAGTAATAATTTCCGAAATAGCCAAAGTCATCTGGCCACACGGTGCCCTCCAACGGTGTACCGGCCACTAACTCAAGTCGATCACATTACCATCTGTTACCGATGGCACGGATCAATAACGGAGTGCCGCTCGTTTTGGAACACACTTGTGAACTTCGACCATGCGTTCCTCCGGAGGCGCTTCTCCATTCTTTTTTCAGGCCCGCATAAGGTGTGGGAAAACCGTCTGGCAAGTGAGAGATTTGCAGACCCGGATGTTAGGCGAATTTACCCGCATCGTCTTCAAGAGCCTATTCCAAGTGCTCCAATATCAGATATGAGTACCTACTGAGACAAGATCGCCACTTCTTTGCATAGTCCTGTGACACGGCGCTACCAGGCTCACTCAAGCACTGGATATCAGGCACTGCTCAAATCTCGGAGAAATATCCCATCCGGTCCAGAACATAACTTGACGCGGCAAATTATCAGAAGTCGAGTGAAAGTAAGCGTGCGAGTCGACCTTGAAGTCTGGTGGACAAGGAAATGGAAGAGGCCCAGAAATCTGGGAATGCCCAAAGATTATTCCAGTTGATCCTTGCGACCGGTCTCCGGAAACCTCCTGTGAGCGAAACGATCAAGAATCAACGGAGTAGCCATCTTGAACAAAGAAGAACGCCTCCACCGGTGAGCCGAATACTTCGAAAAACAGTTGTCGTGGCCACCAGCTGCCACTCATCTGGTGTCCACATTTGACGTAGAACCCTGGACGGTGAACGTGGAACCCTCCAACGGCCTCAGAGCTTTATGGCTGCATATTTTCTCTCAAGCGCCACCGACCTGCTACGTAAGACCTCATCCGCATTGTCCAAATATCTGGATGAAGTCCTCACTCAGTTCTCGTTTGACCTGTTTGCCCCCCACCAGGGAAAATACCCAATCCCAGATAACTCGAGAGAGTCGGTGTTAGTGCTCGTTTTCAAAGTGAATGTGGCAACCACAGGGGGTCAGCCTAACTCCGGCTGTCACGGCTGGGGTCACGTTTGCTTCGTCGCCTTATGGTGGCTTGTGAAACACTGACTCGGGAGCAGGAAGCAGGGTTCCGGCCTGGTAGGAGTCAGGTGCTAGAACAACACCATACGTACAAATGAAGCACAATCCTGGTATTCCTGGCTTTCCAAGGCGCATTCGACTCGGTTCATTTGTGTGTTCTCCTTGACACGCTTACTCAAGGGATGATGCCATGGGAGTTTGTGAACACAATATGTTTTTCGTATTCTCAGACTTCCGGACGTGTGAGAGTATACGGTAAGCTCTACAAAGCCTCCCGTAGGCAAAGCTGTATTGGTCAGGGGTGCCAACTCTCGCCATGCCTGTTTAATTTCGTGACCGATGGGATAATAAGGTGAACGCTGGAAGGTCTTCAAAGCCCCGGTGTTCAAATAGCCTGTGACGGACCCTTTGTCGATCTGGTATATGCGGACGACATCGTTCTCGTCTTCGAAAAGGAGAAGGCGCAGGTGGTTTTGGATGAACTGGCCAAATTCTTCGCGTCCTTTGGAATGCACTTAGCACCCACGAAGTTTGAGTTCATGCTCGTGGGCATGCAGCCACTGAACACACCACTTACAATCTAGGGAGAGACACTAGAAGTTGTGAAACGTTTTACGTATCTTAGAGGTTGTATTAGTTCTGATCGTTGTGTAACAGACGAGGTCAATGCACGATTCCGTAAGACGGGTCGCGTTTGCTAATTTGAGACACCTATGGTGTCAAAGCGGTTTATCTCTAACTCTCAAGAGATGAGTGTATCAGGCTACAGTATGTGCGGTGAAACTTGGTCTGTTTGAGCAGCGGAAACTAGACGCCTTCTGTGTTCGACAATTATTGTCTCATGGCCATAGCTCGTGTGGGTTGGTGTCGGTAAATCTGTTACGAGGCAATTAGAAAGCGTGTTTTCAGTTGTCCAACGAGTACTTCCATCGAATAATATGTCCAGCACCAGAAGCTGCGTTGGTTATGTCATGTGTTGCGCATGCCAAGCCATCGTTTGCCGAAGAGAGTGCTTTTTTTGTGCCAAATCCAGAGCGGTGGAAACAAAGAAATGAGCAACCCTTGACCTGACAGAGGGGTATGGAAGAAATCACGAAGCGTTTGGGTGCTGTCGGTGTTACTCGCCTTCCAGGATGGGGACCGCGTGATCCTCACTGCGCCTGGTTGAAGACGCTGCAAGATATGGCTGCCAACCGATGTCAATGGCATTGTTGTCAGTTTCTATCCAAATTACCTGAATGAATGTCTAGATGTATATCCACCTCTGAATGATTGTGGTAAGCTAGCACTAAATCCCTTCCTTGTCTACTTTCATTATTTTCTTTACAGTTAGACTATGGAATAACCTATGGTTGCACGGCAGAGAAGTACACGTGTTAGGCTGTTGGTGATAATGATGATCGCCCAGTTTGTACCTACCCTAAAGCGAACGTCATTGGGTTATTCGTGTATTAGCTGTTGTTGTGTCCAGTTCAACCCATTTCCCGTTAGAATCAACCAGAATAGATGCAGAATGGACGAGGTTTTCATGGGCGCTCTCAGCATTCTTATCCCTTGTCAGTTTGTCTAACAGGAACCATATGTTTCCTTTCGGCGTATACGGTACCTCTGAAACAGGTTCAGGTTTGATCATATGCACTATATGATCTGAAAATCGGCTCCTTCAGATTCTACTTCTTGAGGGTCTCGTGATTTTGAAGCAGTGTATGTGTGGTATGGAAGCTACGCTCAGCCTCACCGCTGAACACACTTTGATGGGCAGGGTTCCATTGAACAGTCATCTTCGTAGCTTCAGCTATCCATCTCGTATGAACCACATCAAAACCAATAGTTTCCTTCATGAAAACATACTGTGATGTCCCGAATGTCGTACGAACGGAAGTTGGGTCTTTGTGCAGCACCTTCAGTTGAAGAATATCATAAAGGAGAGATTCACTTGAGTCTCTCGTGTGCGAACCAAATTAATATGAAAATGAGTGTATTTCTCGAAATCAGTTTAATTTGAGTTCAAATAGAACTCGAGGACTGCTCCTATCTGATGAGGGCGAAACTTTTTGTGGACTGTCCCAGAGTTCTCGCCATCCTTGTGGGTAGTGTATTATGTCTAAAACCACTACCTGTTTACTAATAGCTTACGATCCAAGGGACTGTATATCTGACTCAACCATCATCCTGTACAAATCCTTCGAGGCACAAAACACCGGCGTCATTTCGCGGGGTATGTGATTGTCTCAGTTCTGTGGAATCACATCTGCGTTGTTTACTCGAGGCCGATGCCGACCACACAGCCGTCGGAGAGCAATTTTTCCAGGAGATTTTTATGGCCGGCTCAAATTTTGACGCACCATTTAAACTAGCTGTCACCAGGGGCAAATAACTTTTGGATCCTGTCGGCCCATACGGCTTTCAGCTACCAGTGATGGACTACAACTCAGGACTGATTCGTTTTGTGGCATACACGATGCTTGCGGTACCGATCTAGCGCATGTCCGCATGACGATCTGCCTTCCACCAACATTTCTCAAGTCGATAAATGTTGTCAATCCGCCAATCGCGGAGAGCTGTCATATTTCAACAGTAACGATCTGAGCAAGTTCAACTGCCGTCTGTAGTGATCCAACACAACACTGGTACGGAGCGTGTGAGGGAAGTACGACAAATAATGAAAAGAGCTGTGCTCACGGAGCTTAGTTCCACCTGTCTGGGCTCGAGATATCTCAATAGTTAAGTCTCCAGCTTAGGGACCGTAAGGTCCGTTGTTCGAACCCAACCTCAGCATCTCGACTGCTCCTGTCTAGGCTTGGGCAACCTGAAAATATACCAGTCCTCGTGCCTCCTTTCGTTAGCATGGTAGCTAGACACAGAAAGGGTACTACGGCCGCACGATTCAAATCTCCGATTTCTCTGGTACAATTAAACGACCACCGTTTGTCTTCGAATTGGGGTTAAAAACTTCGTACGAATACGTCAACACATACAGACAGACTTACAGATGACTAAATCACGAATTTTGGGCGCGTGTATCGGCACTCAGATGAATCCGCCGAAATATCTAGCAAGTGGCTTGCGCTGATATGGCACTGATTTTAGGCTCACCACCAGAATAACGCTATGCTTTCGGTCACAGTGGTGATGCGCACAACATACTAAAGTGAATTTTTAGAGAGTTGAGATAGGGCGATCCCTGCTTAACTGTTGGAAAATTTCGGGTGTGCTTTGGAGTGGTCTTCCTTCATGGATCGATTCGACCTACCTTCCTGGTACTCGGAGTGTCAGTCGTACGCAGCTATGATTCGTCTTATTCGGGAGCGGGTTGGCTCTCATGCCCTAAGTGACCTATTTTTTCATCGATTGCAGGTCTGAATAATTAATGGCCGATAAATTTAAGTTTTCATGAAATTTTAGGTAAAGTTAAGGCGGACGAATGGATGTTAGATGGACTGAGTAGAAACCGCACCTCCGTAGTGATGGTTGACCTCTGTGGTCAGCGCAAAACAAGGGATCCGTTTAAAGAGTAGTTTGCAGAATCTGGAGGTAACGTTGGATGTGACGCCATAATGAATGTACAACTGTGGTAGTCTATCCGTTTTTCCTTGATTGTCTAGATGAATATTTCTGACATACAAGAGATACCGGATCGAAGAGGAAACAGTCCCTTAGGAAACCTCTCAAAAGCGCTTTCTGTTGGTCCCGACCGGGAGAAAGGCCATCCCTTAGGATGGGCTGAAAGCCTAGTTTTCCTATGGTACTTCCCCTTGGTGGTTATAGTATCGTTGATTCGGTTAGTTAACAGGCCATACCGTCATCAGCGACCGTAACTTAGCGTAGGACACTAGTACTTCACTGCGGTGCAGAAGTAAAATTATTTGAACCCTTATAATCAATCGAAGGAAGATGCAGAAAAATTGAAATCTCTCAACTGCAGTACCCTTTCGATGCCTAACTGCCTTGCCACAGGAAGGAAGCACGAGGGCTGGGATACTGCCAGGTTGCCCACGGTTAGACAGCGGAAGTCGATATGGAGGTTCGAACCACGGACCTTCCGGTCAGTAAATTCGCCCTCTAGCCACAACCATCTTGCCCCCTGAGGAAGGAAGACGCAATAGGTAAGCGACCTGCAAACATAAACACTTCAGTTGCTTATGTCAATAACCAATTAGACAGCGTGATTAAGAGCGGACAAAATCACGAAGAGGCTCACGTTGATGCCATCCTGGCACACCACGAGTTTCCGTAAGGTCTTCAGTTCCCTTCTGTTGACCATATTTTGGCCGTTCCTTTGATTTGACTACTCCGAAGTAAGCGCAACAAACGATATTGTTCTCGGTAGACGGTAGCTTGACATGCGTAGCACATGGCTGTAGCTTACAGTGCTCAAGAGAATTAACCACTGCTTCAGACATCCGTTGCCTTATTACATTACTCTGACTTCGTTGGTTTCGGTCGGTTGCAGATATGGTTGTGGGACATCAGTGGACAAAGTTCTAAAGATCATCCACCCAGAGTGAGCCAATGCACCCCGTACTGTAGATTTGGCTTCTTAGTTTTCAAATAGGCTTATAACTGATTTTGTCGCATTGGTGGGTGTTATGATGCCCTTCTGCGTCGTCCACATGAGCCTCGTTGCACTCTTTTCGTAGGCTTCACTATGTTGCACTACTCTATGTTTCAGTACGCGACTTATCTTTGGTAGCATTGAAGAACTGGCTTCAAACATCCGATGGTCGGGCGCTATTATTTCGCCATTGTTGGGCGCGAAGATGAGGCGCTTTTTGATTTTGAATATTCTACAAATAAAGGAAATGGACAGAAGGTTTGTCTACTTTATCTATTGCTTTTCTATCATGTCTATAGTTTGAAGAGTTACGATATCTGAATCAATTCATAGCACACGCCTCTTTAGACGTGATTGATGATCAGATGTGGACGGCCAACGGAACATACCTTAAGTCAGTGGATAAGTTTAACGAGTGGATTGTATCAGCATTTGTAACACCCGGACGTATCCTTTGCATTGTTGGTTGAGGAATCATCTTAGATGTTTGCTTTACTGGCGCGTCATATATATGCCAATTCCGTTACGTTGGTTTTCGTTGGCCGGTTATCATTCCAATTACCTTGTATTTTTTAGCATAAAAATTTTTCTTGAACTTAATCCCAGGGATGCTACCGTTGGTTACTTTTGGGTCTCAAAATCAACTCAGCATATCATACTGCAAATCTCTCCTTATACGCAGTTCTTGTCTTCACTACCAAAGTTCGACTATCGGGCAAAGTGATCATCAGTGTCTATGGAGTTAGCAGGAGAGCATGTCTATGAATGAAAAGCGTTTTACAGTATCCATTAGGGACATTGTTTTGCAGGGTAAAGGTGGTCTGACAAGTACGATCGTCTCACAGACCGGGAGTTGGGCGTGAGTTTCAAGCTGTCAGTTTGATGTTTACCGCTATTTAGAGGTGCATTCTTACCAGAATGATGAAAACCCTTGTCAGTGTGTTGAGGAAATACCCGCACTCTCCAGGATATTTGAAAGAATGAAACCATCTTTTTATGAGATTTATATCGAACCCGGACGAATGGAATTCGGAGACCGCCTTCACACTTTGAGAACTCCACCGTACTAAACGAATCCTTATCACCATGCACCCGACCCGAAGCTGCTACCTTGACGTGGCGATCGGGCTTACGCGCTGCAGGTTACACTGACTGAAGCTTCAGGTCACAAGGTGCAATCATGCCTGAAAGATCGAAGAAGAGTAGTAGGACCACCTACTACGAGTAGTCGTATAGCAAGACAGTCTGAGGTTAAAGCCGTACCTTATTTTCTCAAAGCTGTCACCTTTTTGTGGTGTTAAGGTATCTGTACCGCAGTGCTGGTTGTACGTGGGTTGGGGTATTGCCAGGGCGCCCACAAGGTGATTCAGGATCCTCAACCGCAGCTTTTGGCTCAAAAGCCTGACCGCAAGGCATCGGTGTTTGGCTGTAACTGCAGTTGTATTACCATTTTTACGAAACACATCGCCATACATGTTTCAACTTCCAACCGGGAAGACCAGGGGACTGTGTTCGTCAGATCTCTAACCATTGACCAACCTGGCATGAGAGATTCTGTGAGTGTTACGCTTGCACAGCCCGGTGGGTTGCCGAGGTACACAACGGTAAGGTCCAGTTTCTTCTTGATGGACAAAGTTTACAAGATAATAGCAAGACTGTTCGTACTTTACGGTTGTGAAAACTGGCCCATCTGGTTTTCAGACCCTAACTGCACTCAAATTTTTCATCCATAGTACAAGGGGACTCAGGTTACTGCAACATACTGACCACGGAATGGTTCCTGAACAAGCAGTTTGCAACGAATGGGACTCACGTGGACAGCGCGTAAAACATTACAACTGGAAGTACATATGGGTGCTTTTACGAATTGCCAAAGAGTTCCTTGTTTCTATCTTTCCGATGAAGAGTTCGCGATATGACAATGAAAGGTAAATACATTTCCAGTCGAACTGATTGTCACGAAAATGCCCATCCCGGTTAGAGTCCATGATGTTATCTCTCCAGTCCACATGACATGACACGTAACCGAATACATTATCTGTACTACCTAGATCAAGTTTGCCCTTCAGTGTGCGCTGGTTGGCTAGTGCTCCCGAAGAATGCCGGGTCAATCCTTCCAACGACACCTTGCACCAGCATGTTTGTGTGAGTGATGTCCGTATGCGTTAGCACCTTGATCACATTCTCTCAAGGAGCACGTTTTTCTCATCAGTGTCTTGCTTATTCATAGTTGCTCTACACTTGTAGGCCAGCACGTACCAGTAGTGTATTGCTGTCAGTGGTTTCCAAATTGTTTTGTAATGTTGCTGGGATCAAGGCAGCTAAAACGTATTCCAACCTCCATATTGTCTTCGTAAATCTTAAATTTGCTTGTTGGCTCGTTGCATCATTTCTGTATTCTAGAGGTCAGCTGAGAGCACTTTCATTACTAGATTGAATGTTGACTTTTTTGGACTCGCGAAATTTTGTGGAACCCCTCGCTGAAGACGGGGGTGTATTGCGAACTGTACACAGGTTTTCCTACTGTTTTGGCAACTGTGCCTCACGCACTGTCTCGTTCTGTTACAAAAGATAGCCACAGCTAAACACGCGTGGAAGAAAACATCGCATGGAAAGGGAATATTTTGAACTCCGTACGCTAGTCTGCGGTTGACAGAGGACTTCCTTAGGAGGACTCCATAGGAGTCTGTACTCAATTTAGTCAAAATATCTGATTTCAAAGCTAGTGAATTGGCGGAGTTTATGATCTTCGTGATCAAATGACAGCTGGGTTGTAACATAACGCTTATGTGTGAAAACTTGTTTCACAGTTGGTATGCTTTTGGTTTCATGAAGTGGTAAATCACGTTGATGGAGCCTTGTTCTGCACATTCTTGTTCACTCCGCTGCTACTGGCGCGATCATCCAGTTGATATTTCAGCCATAGTAACTTGCCCTTAACAGACGAAACCAGAATTACGTATGGTGTTGCTCCACGATGAACCAAACGACACACGCATAAGAAACTTTTTCAACGACGTCTACGAAGCCTATGTCAAGGTAGGTACAGTTGAATCACCCGATGTCTGCTTTCATTTTCCAGTTGGCGCTAAATCCATTTTTCGACCGTGCAAAGCCCATTACTTCTCCAAGCTTCACGAAGAAAATGCAACGGTTAACAAGCAAACATTTCGGTTGACGAATCCCACGTATTGGTGCAACTGTGATATACTCATCTATTAAACTCCTATCCGCAGTCGCCTTATTTTGATCGAACACTTTTTAAGGGAGTTTACTCGACTGGTCTAACGTATTCAATTTCTATTCGTATTGCGGCCTAATACTTCATTCTTCACCCTCACACGGATTCCGCATTTTTATCGCCATGTCCCCTAGCTCTGGGGAAATTCAGGTATTCAAAGTAGTTTCAGCACAGTGTGTATTTTTGAACCTCTGAATTACCACAGCTCAATCTTGAGAGGGCATCAACACGTAGAGTAAATGTGTTTCATGAACTAACACAGAATTCAAGCCGCACAATTTAGCATAGGGATTTTGTAACAGGACAATACAGACGGTAAAGTTTTTGAAAGCGTTCAAGAACAGTGTGTCGGTGTGCACAAAACACATGGAGCGAGAGATTCAAGCATCAGTTTCGGTGGGCTGTCCGGTTTCTCATGAGATACAGTAGACCGACTGCCGCAGCACTGGAGTTGCATTTCATTCTGTAATTATGCGTGAGTTACCTTTATCCCATCTTAGCTTGCCGAATTCGCATGCAGGCTATTTCTACTCCAACAGGAATTGAAAGTAGCACAGTTGTTTTCTGGCAAAGAACCAATTTTAGGGTGTGCGACGGGAGATAGTGGTGCACAAAAACTAGTTTAAGTTCTCGGGACGTAGATGGAAACATTTCCCATGGACGATGTAACCGTTTGTTTCATCCGTCTTTTATGTATGGCTGCGAGCGATGGGATCAGTTGCCGAAATGATCATTACTCGTTCTGACAGTAGTATCAACGAAACTCCAGGGAGATATCGAATATCTGTAGTTTCCGGTCCCCTCTGCTGACGATTATGGTGTTCGTCCTTTAATTTCGAAGAACTTTTCCTAAAGTGACTTAAAGTGGGCTCTTTGTTTTCCCCGGTCAACTCTCCGCTTTAGTGGATAAAACTAGGCATCACATGCGACGACACCCTGACGATGTACGGAGCTGAGTGTTGACAAGTAAATGTAGTTTACAATATACGTTGGAAATGCCTCTTGTAACCAACATTGATGCAAATGATATCGTAAATATGCTGACGATTTCCGTAATAGGCTTGATCATATTCGTCAGAATACACCCTATGCTGTCGTTCGAATTTGTCGATTTGGTTGACTCCAAGTCCGCTTTATTCGCCATCAGTGGGTGGTGAACTGAGTGTATGGTTTGTAACAAAGACCGACAGCTAGTGTTTTGGCGGCGCAAATTGTACTCCGCATCAATAATAAGCAACCCATCGTATCAGGCATTGTGGAGTTGATTCGCAAGCAAAAGTAGCTTATGGTTGAATTGCGTACATGGATGATAAATGGATTTTGACTGTGGAGGATGCTAGGTTTCAGCTAAAAATGTAACGTAAAAAAAGTAAGATGAGCCCTCTCAACGCCGTTGTTCTTGGCTCACAATTTAGGCTAGGCACTGATGTGTATTGCTATCATTGATGATAGTACAACCAAAATACAGTGCCGTCTAACTGGGCGAGAGGCGCTAGTAAGGAATGTCAGAATGGGTCACATCCTGCATTTCCACGACTGGTACATGATGAGGCTTTAAAATGGTGAGACATTAAAATCGTAAAACGGTCACTGGAATTGTAATCAAGGCCAATACGAACAAGTAAATCCAAATGGGAACCACAAAACAAAGCGCGTTGCCAGGAGTGTACGCGAAAAAAGTATTTTGGTGTTGGAACTGAGCGCTTGCAAAATCTCCAGATTGGGGATCATCCGCTTCAGGGGATACCAATGTGGATATTCAAACCCGGATCTTCGGAAACAATGCTTGCGAATTTGTTCGCTATGCAGCTCGGAACCACATGATATAATACGAAAAAATGCGGGCTTATTCGCACCATAATATGGTCCAGTTTATTCGAATAGTCGAGCGGCTTGGACTTAGCTTGACCTACCAGGGCCTCCCAAAAACAGTGGACCGTTGATAGGATGCTCACTTCAGGTCACAAATCCTCACGATACATTCTCAAAACGGAGCCATATGGTTTCTCTATTCCACGAGCTTAGGTTCAGGATTTTCAGCCCAATCGTGTTCCATCCTAAAATAACGGGTTCATGCATCCTGTAACTCGGGACAGTCTCGAGCATATTGGAGGAAAAATTAACTGCATACGTAACGAATTATAAATTTCCAAGTCATAAACGAAATATAGTTGAGATAAAGTTTTGTTTCACCAGGAAGCTGCATTCACAGTCGTAATTTATGATATCGAAAATTGCCACATCCGGCTTGCAAACCCTAAATTCATTCAAACATTTCATCCGTAGTACAGGAGGACATAGCCTATTGCAGCATATCCACAACGAAATGAGCAAATCCAGACGAAACTGACTCATCAGAATGGCAACTGGATAATCTACAACTTGGGGGTGTATGCGTGCCCCCATACACAGTCACCACTTACTCCTGACTTTTCCACTCCGTACCTTTTCTTGTGGGGAGTTCGTGGGGAGAAGTGATGCGATGTGGAAACGCGAAATAAATACTCCCAGTCGAACCGATTACTGTGGATACGCCTATCCCATTTAGCGCGCATGATGTTTTCTCCCCGGTCCACAAGACATGACACGTAACCAAACACACCACCACCTCCTACCAGTACTACCTAGATCATGTTTGTCCCTCGTTGGGTACCGAACCCGTGTTGGTTGTTGCCCCCGAAGAATGCTGGGTCAGCCCATCCAACGACACATTACGCCAGCATGTTCGTGTGGACGCTTCTCGAAGGCGCTGAAACGTTGTTCTTTATTGTGCTCTCTGGAGGTGACGCTAACATTCTATCCTAACGTCTGAAGACTTTATTATTCATGGTTGCACGACATTTCCGGGCCAGCGTATACCGGTGATATGTAGCTCTCAGTGGTTTCAAGACCATAGTCTAAAATACTGCTGGGATCAGAGGAGCCAGAACGTGCTTCTAACTGGCTTTGTGAATCTTGCTTCGTTACAGAGCCCGGTTCGTTGTTTCCGTACTCTGGACGCCAGCTGAAAAAGTTTCCAGATCGAGGTTCTACATCTGTAATGACCTACGTGAACAAAGGGCTGATATTCAAACTAATGTCTCGTGCAGCATTTATAATTGGAAGAAAGTTTTGTCGGCTGATTATTCTTGCGCGGCTGTCGTCAAAACGCCTGGAAACTGCTGAAGCCGCGTTTCAAAATCTTCAAATTGGTTCACCAAGTAAACATGCATCAGAAAGCACGAACCCCTCACTAATATCAGGCTACAGCGGTGTTTTCAGTGCCGTGATATTTAGGCAGGCGCTTCATCCCCGATAATGAGGGTGGACTGACTGCTCAGTATCCAGCAGGCCAACGTTTGTTCTTATACTGCGGAGACCTATGTCAATACCAGCAAGCATCTGCCTCGAAAGAGGGAAATTTTCGACAAGTCTCCGTCATGGAATTGGTTCGGTGTCGCTTTCTCGTATTTCAAATTATTCCAACCGAACATTTACAGTATCAGCAGACGGATGAAAGTTAGTACTCTGGTCTGACTGATTCGCAGTACAGAGTGAGCCGATTATGCAAGCGATTTTCTGCACGGACTGGTAGCATTTCCGTTTAGTAAACAGAGGGATTTTGCAAAAATACACTTTTTGCCGAATTGCCGAGTCAATATGAGGATTCGATGGGGGCAAGGAGTGTGAGAAGTTCATGGAAGCATCTCTTTTCATTTTTTGGTTCTCCTGTTTCACTTTTTATACGTGATACAGTTTGCACTCATGTTTGCCACTTGTAAGACCTCACGGTAATGCCGTTTTGAATTTAGATAACATGTGTATCCTTCCCCTGTGTGTACTATTGCCTTAATGATGCACCAAACACGCGATAGATCGAAATGCTCCAACAACCCACAAGCGGTTTCACCCTTCTTTTGGCCGGTGCCCATTATCCACACAATACTGTCAGCTGCAAAACCTCTGAAAGTGGGGTCAAACCTTCCGCGCCAAAATGTTGTTTTTTGCTGCGTATGTGCTCAAATAAAAAACCGTTTTAATTTGCGTTCAAATTTTGCAGCCCACTGAAGCAACCATGCCTCTGGCTGAAAAGTCCTGTGGGATAATTTTTAGCATCGCTAAGACCCTGGGATGCCCAAGTGGGGCTCAAACGTCTGCTATGGTGGTTTCAACTCGATTTCTCGATTGCTTTAATCCATCATGGACACGTCATATCTTCCGAAAATTCAACTCTATTGTGCGAATACCGAGCTTCATTTTGGCACAACAGGCGGGCATAGCCTCCGAATTTATGCCCATCTGGTGTTCTCAGCCGCTAACTAGAAGTAAGCCCAAATTAATTTCATCAAAACTACACATGGTTAGCCAATCCGGTTGCACGGTTCAGTGATACGTTGCCCATGGAATTTTGTTTGGGTGAGCGAACTTTCAAGGTCACCAAACACCGACGGCCCACAGGCGATTAAATGCTTACGAGACTAGGTGAGTAATCAAATATTAGCATATTCTATTGTTTGTCTGTAAGTGGATTGGACTTGTTTCGGTCGTCATTTGTCTCGCAACGCCATGAAACACAAACGAATGACAACTGTCCTTCCGTTTGCTGTAATATATATGCGGCAGAAGAGGTTGGTCAAATCTGTACCATATTTCCATGGGGTTGGAACCAACTCCTCCCTGAGGCTGTTGGGACCAGGTGAAAAATTTGATCGTAGTTGCAGTTTCGGGCGAGAGGCTGCAGTCGATGTTGTGAGTCTGGTGAGTGCCAGGGGGCCTCAGATACAACGGTGTTAATAGAAAAATCTAAAAGTTGATGACAACAAGCTAAATGGACCCAAGGAAGATGAATTTGTTCGCTGATCAGGAAACAAAGTACTTGCTGGGCAAGAATAACTGTGAAATTTTAAGGAGGTAAGGACGTTTTAACTGAGGCAGCTAGCAGGGAGGCTAGCATTTGGGCTAGTTGGAACGGGCGCTGGTTTTTAGCTTACATAGAGACTCCTAACATGGGATCTCCGTTGTACAAACGAAGGGGTTAATGTGAGTAGTGACGGTAGATATATAAATGACAGTCAGGCAGAAGCTTTGCAGATATTGGATAAGAACCGTAGCTTAATTAATATCCACAACGTCAACTTAACGGGAAGGTAAGAATAAGGATCACCAGTCGCCGAGTCACTGTTGTCAACTCCAAAAAAAGAAAAGTGCATGGAAAAAGCAGTCATTAGGCGCTAGTTGTGACTGCTTGTAATCAGGAATTGATAAGTTTTTTGCATA